GCCGTGCAATGTCAACAAACGCGAGGCCTTTTTGCTCCGATACGCATAGATATTCCAGGCACGCGGCTGCGATCTGTCGCCAGGATTCGACCGCTCCGGCCTCGATCGGATCCCGTGATCCTTGCGGCGATCGATCGCGCGTTATCGAGCGCCAGGGATGTTAAGAACGCGGATCGAGCCCTCCATCTCGCATAGCTCTTTCCTCGCTCCGAATAGATCGTCCTCGAACGTAGATCGCGGTCTGCGCCACCGTGTTCGCCTTTGCCACGACTAATCGCAAATCTATCCCTTGGTCTACGTTCACGGAGTTTCCGTTAGATCGCTCGGATCCTTTCTAGATCTCTCGAATGGATCGTTTAACCTCTGGCCTCGCGATTTAAGACTCTACTATTCCATAGCTCGACAAATTTGCCTCGAGTTGTACCAATCTCGCGCGACTGACGTGGGACACATCGACAAACCACGGGCGTGACACGTGGTGTTTACGTTTGACCCGATCCACGTACCACGTGCCACGCCCGTGATAGTCACTTTCGACCCGATCGATGTACCGCGAGGCTCGCGCGTGATTGTAGGCCAAAGGGGTGACCCGTAACGCGCGACGCGTGGTCGGTATGGAAATTTCGACAGGCGATTCAACGCTCGTGCGAAGCAGCCTAGAGGAACGTGCGTAATCTTGGCGGAGTAACAGCGAGAGGATCGAGGAAGCAGGGTGACGATGGAGATTCGTCCAGGGTGGAAACGACTTCGAGGAACCGCGGTCGAGGTACGCGAAGCTCGAGGATCAATGAAGATCATGGACGAAAGCGGAGGAAAAGAAGCAGGGACCGTGGAACGGACTCGCGAGTCGGGAAGGGGCCGTCTAATTTTCCGCACGCGAGTGATCCGACGGCACTCGGGAGAGCTGGAACAACTCGTTTTCTTGCCGGGGGATCCCGCTAACGAACGAACAGCTTCTACGACGCGCCAGCCCCCTTTCTAATAATTACTCCGACGAAAAGAACGTTCCTCGAAAGGGGAATTAAATTCGAGCGTATCCGCGAGTCGGATGCGCGATGGCGAAGCGGGGGGACGGGAAAAAGGAGCAACGTTGAGGATCGTCGTATGGGTTTTCGTTAACAGTCGATATCGAGACGGAAGCATCGATCGCGAATTTATTAAGGTACAGATTAGCAACGATTCATCGACGATAAACATCCGGTGGTCGGTAATTAAACTGTTAAAGGGCATATAATAACTCGGAGCGTCCGACGTGATTTACTTACCATCAAATATTATCATAATTAATTACACGTGGCCGGACCGGCGCGGTATATAATTAGCAGAAATCGCAAGATTGCCGATCGATCGCCGATCATTATCTCATTTTGAGTTTTACAGCGCGCACTAAACGAGAAAAAGGAAGGGGAGAGGAGGAAAAAAGGAGCGTCCGTGGATGATCGTTTGGCGAAACGGGAAAAACGAAGGTCCCCGGATGGCAGGTCGAAAGAAGAGGCATCGGGCACCGGAATATGTCGCCTAAGCGACGAACGACGGGGAGAAATGGCGGCGCGGAGGGTGAGTGGCGCGCGCGAACGAAGCGGTGGAAAACGGGGAGCGAAGAAGAAGGAGGTAAGAGAAAAGGTAGAAGGCAGGCACGTACGGGACATCGCGGGGATGAAATCAATATGGAGAGCGGATCGGAGAAAATTATCGTTATCGAGGTGTGCGCAGGGCCATCCAGCGTGAAACGTCATTTTCAGGTTCAGGCCTCGCGGCTTACCGCCGCGCGATAGAGATTGCTCGGGCATAGAATCTAATTATGTGATAAACATTGTTGCGCGGCACACCTGCTCGTAAATAACATAGAATCAAACACGTATCGCGTTACACCGTAATACACGAGGGCCTCGGGAGAAGAACAGGTCCCTGGACCCTGGCGAACCGCAATCGGCTATCTTCGATATAAGATACTCGGTCCTGCGCGTGTTCCTTGCCAGGATTAATTATATTCTCCCCTATCGAACATAAATTAGCACGACGAAAAGAGGGCGGCTCGATGTACCGAGTAATTACGCTTTTCGGCGTGATCCGCGCGTAACGGATGCCAACGCGGGACCATGCCGGCTGCTCGTTGCCCCCTTCGCCGATTTTCCTTCGCGCGAAAATCCAGCCTTCTTCGCGACGAAGGTGCGTCGCGACGCTCGCGAAGATAAGAACCGTGCGTCGGGCGAGTAACGAGGCGACGCGAAACGGCGGATCGTTGCTCGAAACGCGGAGAAACGAAGCGAGGCGTTAAACGTTATATAAGGCGGGCATTATCTGGAGCACTCTAAGGTTTCGCTTCAAAAATGGATTTTTCGTCGTATCGCGTTGCTCATCGAAAATAACCGCGCGATCACGCGCTTACGTGGAATATTTATTCAAACAAGCCTTAGAGCTAAGACCTTATCGACAGATACGATATCGGCCAACTTTTTCTCACCGGCATCGGCCACGCCGTTTGTTTGCCGTTGCATTTTTGAATATTAGTGCAATTATGTAGACACGCATACCCGCGTGTACGAACGCAACAACGACGAACAGCCGAGATACCGACCCGTGTTCCAGCGCAAACCAACACACCGGCCACGATAATTGCCAGCGGATTAACCATAATATACTCGCGTCGTTATCGATAATGCGAAATCAAAGATAACTCTTCGTCTTTTCCCCCCTTTTTTTTTTATTCATTTTTCCATTTTCGAAGTCCCGATTACCGCGGTATTAACTCATCCGAGTCGAGACGGAACGCCATTGGACGAGAGGATCGTTTTATCGAAATAAATACAAAGTATAGTTGCTCGATTTATCGTACGTAACTTCTTTGCGCGCTGTAATCGTCACGACGATGATCATTGTTATTCTTTTTTCCTCTTTTTTTTTTCCTTTTTCCTTTTCCTTCCCTTCCCCTCCCCCGCCGGCCACTGTTCCTCGTTCCCCGTTTGGAACGCGTTACGAACGCGCGACGCTTATCAGGCTATGCCACAGCGATGTTTACACTGCATTTTATTGAAACTAATAAAGATCCGGCTGTTTAGAATCAGATAATGCTCTCGCCTCGGCTTGTATCGTTTTAATTACGATCATTCTTGTTTTCGCGGTATCGCGGGGCTCGCGTCGCCGACACATTACGCCGCGATAATAAACACGAAAGATAACTCGACGTACAGTCGAGTATAAATACAATAATATTTAGTTTTTACGGAATAATCAGCGAGTTTATCGACGGCAAATCGAGCCATCGATACACAATTTTTTCGTTCTTTATCGAGGCAACGCGTCGAAATCGAGGTGAGAATCTTTTCCTCTATGCCGCAATTTTAATCCGACTATCGCGCGACTGTACACGTGTCCGGTAAATCGAACACGTGTCGTTCGAACGAATTAGAAATCGAGTAAAAATCGTTCCGCGAGAGGTCCACGGCAGAGACGTCGAGCGACGCGCCGCGTCCGAAGAGGACCTCGTCTCGGCGAAGCGTCGCGACCACGACGCCGAACTAAAAATCGCAATAACGTCGTGGCATAGGCTCGAAAAGTCACTACTCGAAATCCGCTTTCGCGCGGTGAGTCATACGACTAATAAGGCGCAAATTATTGACACAGTTTAATCAGCTCAGACGCAGATACGATGGAAACCGATTTTTTCGATAAACACGATTACCGACGAGAGGTGCTCAATAAACGAATGACCACTATTTCCTTTCCACTAAATGACGATGACTATCGTTCCAGTTAACGATAAGGGTACACCGGCGTAAGTTTCGACGGAAAACACGCGTCTGCTCTTTAGCCGCATGATGTAACGCTAAAAACTACAAGAAACCTAGCAGCCTTTTTGTTTCCAGACTCCAATTGTTCCACCAAGCGCGAATTTCAATTACGTACATGCATACGTTCCGTCGAATGAAACGTTACACGAATTTATCCGTCAAGCATTCCCTTATCGCGGAGGGGAATCGTTCGCGGATCGCACGCACGCAGCAACGACGAGCGCGCAGAACGAAAGGCAGATCTTTTAAAAGGGAATCCACCTTCCCATCGTAAAACCGTGCCGCCGCAATTGGCGAACCTGCCCGGTTGTTTCGCCTATGGAAACGCAACGAGACGCAACAACCGGGAACCCCCGGTTTCAGGTAAAGCCCGATTCTCGCGATCTCGCGTCGCTCGTTCGTACAATGCCACCATCGTACAATGCATCGACCGTTCCACGGGGGCAGAGAGGGGGTCAGGGTTGGCAACAAAGCCCCGTGCCAAGGTTGTGCGGGGGTGGCTGCGTCGAATGCAAGCAGGGAGGCACACACCATTGACAGCTGACGGATCGAACGCTCGCCACACGCTTTCCCTCGAAATGCACGGGATCGTTTCGTGTTTCGTTCGCGGACAAATAGCGGCTGGCATGACGCACGCGTTCGTTTGCCTCGGAAATCTCCGGTTTCGTTACTCAACCAACTCTTCGGGACGACGACGAAGAGCTATGGACGCGGAGGAACCAATTGATCGCCCTACCGATCCAACCCCGTTTTCACGTAACGGGATAATTCGCGTGTTTAAACAGCGATACGCTATTTGCGCGGATGAAGAAGGCTCCGATCTCCGTGCGACTAATCTAGAGATTCGTAATCGAGCAACGCGATTCGAGGTTCTCGACCTATCGGCCACATCGGCGAACAATGTAGTCATCTGAGGCTATTATCTAAGGCTAAATCGTGCTCCGAGAACCGTCGACAAGAACCGCCTATTCCGAGATTCAAATGAGTAACGAGTGGTTGCGCAAGCGGATGCGAAGAAAGGAACCGCCGAATTAGGAAGGTTCCAATTATTGCCCCGTCGTGATCCACGCACGATATCGTACAATCCGTTGCGTCACTGGGACTTATCGCGGTACGCGCTCATCACCGGCGATACGCGTGCGTTTCCACGAAAATGAGCAATGCCGCGCGATGATAAGCGAAAAGAATTTGCATGTCTGACGAACTCACCGTTCTCGGTGCCTCGAAGGGGGCCGGAAGGGCTACCGCCGGTAGAGACCCCTTCGTCTTCGCTGCTGCTGCTGCTACCCTCACTGGGACTGTAACTTCTCCTGCTCCCGGTCCCTCTCGCGATCTTCTGCCCGCTGCTAGCCGTCCCGTTATTATTGTCGTGCATTCTACTCTGTAGTCGCTCGTGCATAGTCCTTACGCGAGAATGTAGCCTCTGCTGCTGAAGGGAACCGACCGAAAAGTCCAAAGGCTGGTCGATATCCGACTGAATCTGCGACTGTCTCTGTACTTGTCCGCATACCGAGCCGGCGACTAAACTTTGCGCTTGAGTAACTTGCTGCCCGATCGGCGACACTTGCTGCTGCTGGTGCTGCTGCTGTTGCTCCTGATGAACGCTACTAGGCGGGCTCCACCAATGGTGCCCGCCTTGGATAGGCCTCCAAGCCTCGATGGTGTTGTTGTTGGTCGGGCTGGTCTGCTTCTGCTTCTGTTGCTGCATCTGCATCTGCTGCTGAGACTGTTGTTGCTGCTGTACCATCGCAACCTCCACCAGGTTGTTGTTCTCCAGCAGATGCATGCTGGGGGTCTGCGTCATCGACGACGGCAAAGCGAAAGGGGAAGCGCCCACCGAGGGTGGGCTCGACTCTTGACGCTGTCGATGGCTGGAATGATGATGTTGCTGCCTATGTTGCTGTTGCACCGTCGGCTGCTGATGTTGCTGCTGCTGCTGCTGTTGCTGTTGCTGCTGCTGTTGCTGCTGCTGCGAACTAGACGGTACGAGAACCGGAGGCGGAATTTGCCGGACGGTCCGCGTGGCCTCGGCGACCCACCGGCGCACCGCCTCGCTGTCGAGGCCCGCCAGCCCTGCGGACTTTGTTTTCGACTGTCCACCGGGCGATGATAAACCCTTATCGGGTATCAGGCCGGGTAGCGCGAGGACCCCGGTGCCCGCCACCGCGACCCTGGGTCCCGAAACGCCCCCGTAAGCAGCAAACGCCGCGAAATCCAACGTGGTCACCTGCTGGCTCCCTTTGTCGGACAAGCTTCGCTGTTCTTCGCCCTCGTGCGCACCAGTAGGATCACCCTTTCCTACGATCGTCTCTCTCTTTCTTTCTGTCTGCCTCGGTAACCTTCGGCCACGCTCACTGATATCGCGTCGTCGTTGCACTCTCGATACGGATAATTTCGCGCAGCCAGTGCTGCACCGCGTACTCGCTCCTTCGCGCGTTAACGTCGCTCGCGTCACGAAGGAGCAGCGTGTGCGTTTGCGAGTACGAAAGATCCAGCGGTCGTCTATTTTATCCTATTCGATATCACGGTGCATGTATACGTATATCGTATATTCCTACGGTAACACTACACTGATAAACGCGCACAGATACGTTCCTTCGGCACGCTACGAACGTATACTCCAGTCTCGCACGGTCACCGGTTCCGTACTCACTCGTTACGTGGATTTACCATTCGCGTCCATTACACGAACACTGCTCGATGCATATAGTTATTATTAAACGGAACAGCGTGACAAGCGCGTATCGTCGTTACTATCGCATAGTTCCTGGCCCCGTTTCCCGTGGAATTCACCTGTCATCGGATACGTCTGGCGAACAACGCAGGCCCGCGGTAGATGTTCGATTATCACCGGCGTCGACCACGCCAGCTGTTCTTTCCACGACTCACTCGCGCCTTTTCACCGCGGAAAAACGCTGCCCCTCGAAGCCCGGGAATATTCGAAAATCCTACTACTGTCCGTGCGACCTGTCATCGGACGCGTCAGAAACAGCGTCACCCATCGGTGAACTCGGCAACAGTTTCGAGGCTCTGGAGCAGCGGGCCAACCGTGAGCATGTTCGACCGTGGAATCTCTTTGAGAATCTCTCGAATCCAATGGAAACTGTCACGATATATCACTGTCTCACTTTCGATGCTGACAATATCTCCCGTGGTTCCGCGTTCCACGCGTGCGGTACCGTTTCGTCATAGGGTTGGCACACCGCGCGGCAGCTTTCCCCTCGCGAGAATCGAGCTGTTCGGCGGTGCGGGATCGGTGGAAGAGAGCAAAGTATCGTTATCGCAGGCACACGAGCATCCGCGACGAGCTACGACGGTGGCAGCTACGGCTGCGGCGGCTGGTACGGCGGTCAGATGCTGTCGCGTGCATGTGTGCAGCTACACTAGAGGGCCCACGTACGCCCGGTCGGCCGCCTACCGGCCACGGGGAACGCGGACGCGTACGCGGACCGTGGAACGCGAAGTGGGGGAGTTGCCGCTAGAGGGACAGAGACGGAGCGGTACGTTGCACGGTTCGAACGGACGAAAGCACAACGGAGAGGTTAGACTGGAACGAAAAGCAGCGGACGAACGCCTGGACGCTTGTGCTGGTGGGGAAACAAGCAGCGTCGGTGGGGAATGACGCTCCAATCGCAAAGGAACGCGGATCACGCGCGGCTCCGCCCGGCAAGGAAAGGCGAGTTCTCTGGTCGCGAGCGCGAGCGCGCCTTTTTACCTCGCGTGTACCGGCTACTACTGCTGCAACCAAACCACGGTTAGAGGGAGAGAAGGTGAGTGCATTTGCATATGCGAGAAAAGCGACCAATCGCGGCACTGCTTGCCCCCTCTGTCGATATCGCGACACGGATTAGGTCTTTCGAATAAATTCACCACCATAAACAACGCACACCGATGTCCTTAACGCGTCCACTCTCGTCGTCCGGCATCGACTATGTAAATATCACTGTCGTCCAAGCTGCCACTCTATAGGACTTTCATGTAAATAGGTCGCGTGACCACACGCGATTAATCTCATTGGTCAACACAGGTGGCGTTTTTCGATGCCTGTGGATTAGGTGCGTGCATACGTCATGCTAAGAAATTATCCCAGTACCGGGTTCGTTCCGAATGTTTATTCGCATTTATCCGACAAGAGAGTATTCGTCTCGAGAATGTTTCGTACAGTGTCGAGGGTAACCGCGTATTCGATCGAGGTAAAAAGAAGACTAACGAGCTAGTGAGAAATTAGTTGGAAAAGTGGCCGCGAGAAGTCTCTCGTAATAGGTCAGTCGTATCGCGTCCTTTGCTGCTACGATCTTGAATATGGTAGCTAACCGCGGCCTGGCGGGAAATGGCGATCTGTGCGTGACGCGTAGAATGCGATTAAAAGAGTTTGTGGTGATCGGGAGATTCGTATCTACGCGTGGATTACACTTTTGGCATACCCCGAGGGACGACATAGCTGGCTGAAATACTTCGTGCTGCCCGATGAATCTCAGGTTAACAGCAGGTGGGTACTTCTGCAGGTTAACTTTGCTCGGTTCAACGATCTCTCGAACAATAGAGTCATTGTGAGTCCAATATGTTCGCATTGGCAAACGTGTTCGAACGATCGATAACGCATAATAATAACGATAATAGAACGTCGCGATCGATCGTTAATCGTATCGAAATATACGTAGTGCGACGAAGTATACGCAACGTCGATGTCAATCGATCGAACGAACGTATCGAATCTATGACGTAGTTAATACGAACTAGTTCGAAATATCGAAATTTACCGAACGAATATAAAACGACGCGATCTATGGTTAATCGTATCGAAGTGCGCAGTTGGACAAAGTATATGCAACGTCGATGTCAATCGATCGAACGAACGTATCGAATCTATGACGTAGTTAATACGAACTCGTTCGAAATATGGAAGTCTCTCGAACGAATATAATACTTCGCGATCTATGGTTAATCGTATCGTAATGTACGTAGTTCGACAAAGTATACGCAACGTCAATGTCAATCGATCGAACGAATCTATCGAATCTATGACGTAGTTAATACGAACTAGTTCGAAATATCGAAATTTACCGAACGAATATAAAACGACGCGATCTATGGTTAATCGTATCGTAATGTACGTAGTTCGACAAAGTATACGCAACGTCAATGTCAATCGATCGAACGAATCTATCGAATCTATGACGTAGTTAATACGAACTCGTTCGAAATATCGAAGGCTACCCAACGAATATAAAACGACGCCATCGACGGTTAATCGTATCGAAGTATACGTAGTGCGACGAAGTATATGCAACGTCGATGTCAATCGATCGAACGAATGTATCGAATCTATGACGTAGTTAATATGAACTCGTGCGAAATATCGAAGTCTACCGAACAAATATAACGCGACGCCATCGATGGTTAATCGTATCGAAGTGCGTAGTTGGACGAAGTATACGCAACGTCGATATTAATCGATCGAACGAATGTATCGAATCTATGACGTAGTTAATACGAACTCGTGCGAAATATCGAAGTCCACCGAACGAATCTTCACGAAATTAACATCGCGAACTAGAAATACGTTTCTCGATCTATTTCGGACGCCATTATTTTCCGAAACGTCTCCGTTCGTATCATAACCTCGCGGAGGCATACAAATATTCGCGAACCCCTATCACGGCCGCCATTCCTCCGAACCCGATTCTCTCTCTCTCTCTCTCTCTCTACTCTCTCACTCTCACTCTCACTCTCTCACTCACCTATCATATTTCCATGCACACACATCGAAGCCCACCACTCCCAACATTTGAATGCGGCATGCGCAGTGCCGGTGCCGGTGCAAAAAAAATGAGGCGCTTTAAACTGGGCCTTTATTGGTCGTAGCAGCCGTGCAGTATCCCCACCCGCGTGCCCTTTTCCCTCGCGTACACAAGCATCCCTGCCATTCTTCCTCTTTTTATCGCGCTATCATATTTCCATACAGCCACCGGCCACCACCACCGTCGCCACCTCCACTCGATACCCAGCTCGCCCAGATTTGAATCCGGCATGCGCAGTTCCGCGCGCAAAAAGGGCGCTTTAAAGAGGTTCTTATTGGCCATGGGAACGCCACCCCCACTCCTTATCGCGTGTACCGGCTACCTAACCTTGCGAACGCGGCACCCTTCCTCTTATCGCGTCGCCTCCTCTCCCCTTCGCCGCCCACCCTCCTCCTCGCGCGCCGTTCTTTTTTTCGCTTTTTCTCTCCCTTTCGCCCCGTCTTCCCCTCCGGTCACCCCACTACGACTCCCACGACTCGGACTAGGAACGAGCGAGCATCCCCTTGCACCCCCCACTGTCCTCCCGCCGCTCAACACACGCGCGCGTACACATGGACACGCGTGTGCGAGGAAGGTGCGACGAGGATGAATAGCGTCGAGGGATGAAGACGAAAGCGGGATACGCCGAGAGGGATACGGGCCGGAGGGGGTGGCTAGAGGGAGACGAAGCGGAGAGCGAGCCGGTATTGATTTTAATGACGCCCCTACCTACGCGAATTCACGAAAGAGGCGCGAATAATATCTACGCGCTCTGATTCCGGGAGTCGGGACGACGAGAAGCTTTATGGACGCGCGGACATTCCTCCGACTCTTGTATCGCGCATCCGAATCTCTCGCGACTTTTCCTTCTATTTTTCAACCGATTTCTGCATCCCTCTATACGGGACGAAGAACGCGATCGACGCCTCGTCGCGATAAATCGAGGCGTGAAACGGCCTCTCGCCCAGTGTCGTAACATTTACATGTCGCAACTGACTGCGGACGAATAAAGGGTTGGTCGGAGAGGGCCGTCATATTTATGTACGACGCGCGTGCCAGAGGATAAAGGCACTTGCCGAAAATCGAGCGGCTCGAGTGCCACTACACGGAAGGGTGTTCAAATACCCATGCCCGG